TGTGTTTTCGACATTAGATAGTTAGGTAATTCAGATATCCGAACTCTTCACATATCCGGACAATGTAACTAGGAACCAAAGTGTCCGGATAAACGAGGCTCCACTGTAATTCATTTGTAATTAATATTTTAGATATCTTTTTATATCTTAAGTCTATGCGTAAAAGCTTGTCAAAATCAATTGATGACACGCCCTTGTTTGCAATATATGATTATCAATTTTTATGCAATCCATGAACCTTCAATACATCTGCAGCAGTATAAATTTTCAAGGGAATATACGAAAGTATTATATAATTTATAGATAAATATTTAATGCAAGTAAATCGTCTGTTTTAGTCTGCAAGTAATACTTAAAATGACTAAAAAATTCACTCTTGTATAACATAAACATGTTACTTGGTCCATCTCTCACATGTCTTTACGAAATGACGTAACGTTGACTAATGAAATGCAATCGGCGAATTATGTTTATCTTGCTATAAGTGATTTCATAAACGAGGAAACCTCACATGATTTGTAAGTGTTAATATAGTCTATATCCAGTAGTTTAAAATAAAGAATAGTTTATTTTGTTGAAATTCGAAAAAGTGATATTATTGTGTGATGCCAAAGTAAGCATTTGCTGTATAAACAGGTCGACACCACGAGATTTTCTGACGTCAGCATAAATTTGCATGTAAATTAGCTATCTGTTAACTTTACCTACTGCTGAATGAGCCGCAAATTGCATTGTGGACTACTACAAGTACCCAGCTGTGTTGAAAACATAGGGCAATTTTAATTGTCCTTTGGAAATTTATTTTTAATTCTTTTTTTTGATATTTGTGAAAGAAATATTTTTAAAAAATGATATATAATCTTTCATTACTATGCTCACATTTACAATTTGCTTTATGAAGACTTATATCAATTTATAATACATCGGCATAAACCATTGTTCAAAGAGATGTAGGTGATTTTGTGTCAATAAAACATTGTTTTTTTCACGTGATATACCTGTACATAGTTTAGGCAGGAAGTATACAGGTCCTTAGTTTTAGACAGCAGGAGAAGGGTGCAATTATTATTTAACCTCTCAATATTATCAGAAAGTGTTTTATGTACATGCAAACATCAAAGCGTTTGTACGCTGTGTATTAATCATCTAAAACAATCTCAATATTAAATATGAGCATGGAGCATTGTCTTCAGAATATATTCTTTCAATTTCGGTCTTATAGAGTGATAAAGAAGCTGTACAGTTTTTTTTCCGGTGACAAGTTAAATAATTGTGCATTAAACCGAAGAAAAACATGTGTCGCCATTGGATCGTAAACACATAGTAGACTGTCATGCTTTGAGACTCAGTCACCTGATTGGAGAATGGGTGTGACGAAGACATCGTCACTTGTTAAAAATTGCCTTCCATATAAGGTAGTCATTTTGTCCTAGTAAATCCTAGTAAATTAAATCCAACTTCCTTTGTTGTCTCAACCGTGCTGCATAATTTTAATTCAGTGTCTTGTCTGAAATAGGGCTGCGATTCGACTTTGTAATTAATATTTTTTCACATGATTAAAATGTAGATCTTAATATCAGATAAGAGTGTTTGTTTATGAAAATTATACCATAACAGGTATACTTTGGCTTCGATTCCATCATGCACTTTGAATATCAACTGAACGTTTTCATTTTCATAAACCGGAACATATGGAGTCTTGTACAGTATTCATATCATTTTAAATATTTAGTATATCATGATTGATAATACATATAAAATCTACTAGAAGCAATTTCAGTGGATCTCGGAAATGTTTTGTTCAGTATATTAAGGCTATTTTAACTTTTTTGACCAACACATTATACATGATAACAGACATTCTTCTTTTTTTTTCAAGTCTTATCACTTCGTGAAAGGGAGGATGGCGTTCTCGGCGCCGCGTCAAACCTAAGACGTAAACATAGGTAGTGACTGTTCCTTCGCCAAGTGCTCGGCACTAAAGGTCTTTCGGATATGACCTTAATGACGTTGGTCCCATGTCACGGTAGGCGTTGGCACGATAAAGATCCCTCACTGCTCAAAGGCCCTAGTGCCGAGTATAGGTCTAAATTTGAAGCCCTTCACCGGCATACAGTGACGTATCCATATGATTGAAAAAATTTTGAGAGGGACGTTAAACAATATTCAGTCAATCAATCAAGTCTTTTTTTTTATAAGTTTCTGTCTACATTGTTAAACATCAATGCCTATGCGTTAAGTGTATTTTTAATACTTGCAAGTAAATGTAGTTTGAATCTTAAGAACAAATTGTCTTACCTATAGCAATGAAAAGGATAAATTTTACCATACGCCATGCCAATATTGCTATCTAATTCATCTCCTGAACAAACACATGTGCACACGAAAAAGATGTATGTATTTTTTCCTGTTATTTCTATTTTTTGTGAATACTCTGGAAAAGATCTCTTGTTCAACTTCCATGTATCATATAGAATAATTTAAAATCACGTTGAATAACTTAATAGTACAGAGTTTCAGTTTTAAGATGCCACATGCATTCTTATTTTATTAAGTATAACATATTCACTTCTCTTGTATACTCAAGAAATGCATTTTTTAAAGAAGAGAACCATGGGCGTTAAGTGGAACGAAATTGTCATTATTTAAATGTCGATTGAGGAAGAAGAAAAAAAACAAGACTAGGAGGAGAGGGTTGTTATATAATACATAAGTTGCTTAGATATTTGTCACTAACGTAAACACTTGAATTGTCTTTAAAAATCAGACCTTCGTTGTGAAAACATGAATAACTAAATTGGTCAAGGTACTGATTCTTAGTATACAACTTTATACAATTAAATAAGCTTTAACAAAATTGCAAAAATAACACTGAATACAAGAATTTAACGATTCGTATTGAACTAATATGGAAGAAAAAAGTTTTTCCAAAAAATAAATGACGTAAGATTGATAGGCATCTTTGATAAAGTGTGCAATTGCTTCATTTAAATACTGTATAAGCCTACGTGAAAGTCTGTTTGATTAACATAAAATTAATTTACACTAAAATTAAAACCCTTCCGTAGATTAAAATGTTATGTGTTTCAAAAGCACAAAAAGGAAAACTCAATATTTCGAATAATTCGCTGCCTTGTATCATCACATTAATATCCCTTTAACGAGCGCTTCCCTTTGCATATATATCTGCGCCTGAGTGTCCAAACTAATGCCAGTTTGATTCATAGAAAATTATTTTTTTTCCTTAAATCTTGATTTTCCCCAATAATATATAAAAAAGAAAAAGACTTAGCATGAATTAAATGGATACCAGTTTCGAACAGTAAGCAAGCTCAAATGTCCTTTAGGAAAACACACATATCAGAAGTAACGAAAACAAGGGCCTCTTTAAACATCATTGGTGGAATCAGCTGCCATGGATGACAAAGCATCCTCTGTCAACCCGTTTAATTTCCAGTTATGTTTAAAGCCAAAAGTATGTTTACCGACTAATTAAATTGTGATCTGTGGTTTTGGTGCTAAATACCTTGTAGGATAAATCAGGATCTATTTTGGAAATGACTTTGTGGTGAATATATAGCAAGATGTCTAACATTAAGTTCTGTGAAAAGTGTGTCGGTTTAAAATACGAATTCTTGCTGACAAAGCAGGATCTAAAGGCAGGAAATAGATATTTAGATACTATTTATACTATAAAAAAAGGCCGAAAGGTAAGGTGTCACAAGACGGTAATGTGAATTTTTTACTCAAAAAGAAAAAAAAATTGAAACACCTAGTTGGATTACTGTAGAAGTACTTTTTTCCGTGTGGTATTAATTAACGCTATATACGCGGTTACATTTTTTTTTTACAAATTTGTACAAGCGTAATTAATATAAATGTAAGGCATATAGTGACATTCTAGAAAATCCGCGCAATTTTCTACCAGCGGATTAAACAGAAATTAAGATTCTGTAGAATTATGACCCCATTGAAAAAAGGACGTCTACAGTAGTCACATTATCATGCATGTACTGTCATCCTTCGATTGAATAATTGTTTGATTTACGCCCCGTTCGAGAATTACTTATGCTTAATTCTAGAAACATGATTATTTAAATCAATACTTCACCAATAAGCATCAGGAAATTGTGTCAATTCTAAAATTTTATAGGGGATTCTTTAACCTCCAAAAGTACATGTACCTGATTCCCTTTTGAATTCTATCCCCTTAACCTGTGCAAAGTCATGTTCACAAAGTATTGATTGTAGATTTTTAAGATCGTTTACTGATTGTTAGCTTTAACTTTTATGCTTTAAAAAAAAATTGATGAAAACCTCAATTCTAATATCAAAAAGTTTCAATTATCAAGAAAGATTTTGTGGATTTTTTTTATGATATGATATTTTATACATGTAATTAATAGAGACCCTTCAATTCTTCCAGGTAAGACGGTAAAGGCGAAGAAACATTTTTAATTAGGATAGACACAAAATAAAATTTCAAACAACGTAAGGCTACACTGAATTTGATTACTGGGTTTAGTCTCACAATGATTTTTTTTTTTGGAAATAGGTCTTGTTTTCTCTTAAACCCAATCAATAAACAAAGGTGCACAGGTTTTGTTTTCGACATAAAAAAATACACGTCCTTAAAGGGACCGACTATAGTTTTATTGTGTGAAAACTACAATAGCGAAACTCTTCATTTTTATACCATTTATAACTTGCATTAACTTCAGTGTACATGCAAAGTTTGGGGGAAATCTACCGTCCAGGTATTTTTGAGGGACCGTCTCAAAATACAGGTACATTTACTATAGGATTATATAGGAAAATGCCAATTTTTAGCACATTAAAGAAAATTATACAGATACTACGAGAGATATTTTGTTCAAATATAATATTTGATGAGTAATGCTATATTATACAATATTTGTAAGAAACACAAAATTCTACCGTCTTGTTACCAGAGGGGGCATGTCAAAATGTAAAAAAAAATTAGCAAAAAAAAAAAATGTAGTATGACATGTAGGTGTGCTGCACAGGCTTGTCATTTGGCTTTTGGATGCATCAGTTCCAATGGTAATTTTCACATGTTAAAATTATATCTCTGGCCATTGCAATTTTTCTATAAAAGGATTTGATTTTTATATCTCAAACATTTGCGCAATGAGTCTTCTTTTCATGTGTATTATTTCACTTTTCAGAGCTGTCTACAGATGCTTTGAGTGAAGAAAATGTCGTTTCCTCTATATCAGTTGATACAACTAATGAACAAGGTAATATTCATAATACATAGAAAATTATTAATAATATTTTGATCTAAAAGTTTTTGAGCTATGTATGTAAGCTAACCCTTCTTTCAAATTGTTTACACCTTCACTTGATTCTTAAGAACATGATTCTTAAGAACATGTATTGTCCTGATAACTATTAATTATCAATACTTGAGATATGTAAGAAAATGAACTTTTTAATTTAGGCAATTGAATACAATGACATTTTTTTGCTTATCTTTCTTGCATTCATGTATATATTTGTATACAATTTCCGAACGAATAAACCTATGTTTGATTTTTTCACTTCTTGAAATAGATTAGCATACTTTGAGTTAGCTGCAGATCTGTAGCTCTCCGAAAAAATATATTGATAGACCGGAGAGCTACAGTGCCACCCATTGAAAAAACTGTATATTTATTGCGCACAAAAAAGTGCACTCGGTTCTTAAATAATTCGTCAAAATTCTAACCTCAATCGCTAAACTGGAATATTTTTAAAAAAGTTCCTTTCTCCTCTATCAAGTACTCGCGTAGTTAACATCTGAACGAAGCATATTGGATCGAATTATCTTGAAAACCAAACTGGCAGTATAAATAAGCGAAATTTCCGATTATTACAACATCAGGGTCAGGAGGACTATTAACAACAATTATGAGGAATGTTTGGTCGTGGAAACAGTGATAGGAACATACGGTTAGTAATATTTTGAGATTACATATTTAAAAACATGGAGAAATAAATCGAGAACCGAGCGCACCTTTTTTTGCGCAATAAATATACAGTTTTTTCAATGGGTGGCACTGTCGCTCTCCGGTCTATCAATATATTTTTTCGGAGAGTTACAGATCTGTGGCTAACTTTGAGTGCGATAAAATTATGAGCATTTTTGCAGAACCTAGTTGCACAAAGTTATAATTTCAGAAAATATAAGAAAACCAGTGATACCAAAAGAAGGATCATCATCAACACTCCATCTTTTGGTCACAGACAACATTATATCAAATGTCACAAAAGCAGATAGCGCGATTGGCTTTTTCTCTACTATAGCCCTCCAGAAAATACATTTGACCGACAATTTCTCTCATGAAAAGAAACCGTATGATGCCTTCAAGTTTGCAATAGATATTGGTGTGGCATCGCTACTACTTTTATTCTTCCTTGTGGTGTGCGCGTACTTTATGAGAAAGGTAGTAAAATGCTTGAGATCTAAGAAGAACCAATCATCTCAACCAAGAAAGCCAATTAGGGAATCCGGTCATTATCAGAGTTTAGAGTCTGTTCCGCTCATTAATGCTAATGATGTTCTGTTTGAGGGTCTAGCTGAAGTAAAAATTCAGTTCAATCACGAGAGGAAAAACTATACTGTCGAATTTGAAACAAAAAGTGAAGTTAAAGAAGGAAGACCCGAAGAAGGAAGCAAGGAATGTTGCTCACATACAGGGAATTTAACTAGTATGGTGAAGGATTGCAGAAATCATGTGACCGTTGAAAATAAAAAGGCTATAATGCTGGTTCAAGGAAATATTGAAAAACAATCGCCTCTCATTGCTAAAACCGATTATATTGAAATGAAATCAAATAATCGAGAAGGCGACAATGGTGACCCGTATCTGAGTGTTGTTCAAAATGATAAATAGAATCGGTGCTGTATTTGTTCGCATTTTTGTTGTAGAGTCTTTAATGTTTTTTTTTTAATTCCATTGTCAATTGCTCTTGTCAGCAAGTCTAATCCAGTTGTAAAGATGTACATGTGCGATATATTATATGTTCTACAATTTGGAAAAATGTGTGTAGATTTTTAAATACCATTGTAACCATATTCATGTTCCTCAATCACTATCGACTTTTTTGGTGATATCCTGCCATTATCATTTCTTGAACTTTGCGGACATTGACAATATTTCACAATTTTGGTGAATTGATGATTTTATTTACGTTCTTAAACCAGAAGCTTGAATGCTATATTTAGGATGTCTTTTACTCGGAAAAATGTTTGGAACAATGTTTAGTTATCCTCTTAAGAAATGTTTAATGCAACCATCAATAACCAGAACACTTTTCCGATTACCCTTCATAGAAAAGTTAAAGGAGAAAAGTTAATAGTACATATTCATACAGTACATCATTACAAAATGAATATTCTTTTTATTACTACATGTATATATAACTGTAAATATTAATTCGTTTGTATCTTTTTCAAAATATGTAAATAAAATTATTTATCATGAAAAAAATGTTTTTATATAATTTACTGTCCGAGAAAGCCAAAACCTACGTGGCAGTATTGTGACTTTGTATTGAATAAGATAAACATGTAATGTTTAACCTATTCCTATTTAATGGAATACAGATGTACTCCTACAAGAAAAAATGTATTGAGTGAAATCGTCCAATCACTATTCAAAGATTCAAAAGTGTTTTAAATGTCTGCAAATGCCTGTCGATTTAATCCTGACAATCCATGAAACATTCCTACGTAAAAAGTATTTTTCAGGGACTTTTCAGTAACTATCTTTTTAAAATAAATAAATGTCCAAAATAACTCTGATAATTGACATACGTAATAACCTTTTGCACATTCAACTATTGTTTAAGACTATGAGATAAATTATCTATACATTGTTAGATACAGAAAACTCTTTCAAAATATGAATAAAAACGTTGCTAAAATCATGTCTATGAAGTGTAAATTAATGTTCGTCTAGACACTGCAACTGAGGTGAGGGTTTATATGAACAAGGGGTTTGAAATCTGACTCGTGATTATAAAGGAAATCTCAAGTACTTTCAAAAAATATGAGTGTCACAAGTTGATATCCTTAAACACAAGGAAATACATGTAAAGTACTTATTATGAATTAATGCATCTGACATGTAATACTGAGTTATGAAGTACACATCGAAATGTTCAGTATACCAGAGTCGTAATTCTAGATGCCCTTTATCATAATAAATATAGAAGACCTTAATTTTATTTTTCACACTAGAAACTTTTTATTTAAGAAGTCATCATCACCGAAAACTACAAAAATGTTCCTTATCTCTATATGCTTCATCTGTCTTTCTTACGACATTATCTTTTGTAGTAAGTATGGTCACGTCAATAATCTAGAAATGCCAATGCTGTAAGTGAATTAATGCCTGAAAATCAAACTTATTTACACTTATACTCGTAGACGTTGATGAAACGATTATTATTTCATAGTTACAAAGTTGATTACGTTTCGTGTCGAATGGGAGCATTATTACTTTACATATGCCAACAAGAAGACACACCTCGAATGTTTTAAGAGTCCATGAACATTTTTGTAATAATTAAAAAAAATGTATCTAAACAGCAAAAAAAGAGGTACACTGTTTCTAGTCAAAATGTGGATAATGAGAGGAAGCTGTGGGACATTTTTAGAGAGAAATAAAGCCCTAAGCATGTCTTTTCTATGGGTATTTCTTCCTACCTGAGAGGTCATGTACCTAAAACTAAAGTAACGGAGAGGACAATCAACACTAGAATACTTCTTATAATTTAACATAGGAAAGAAAAAGCAGGTTTTCTCAATACAAATTGAAATTCAAAGACCTGCTCCCAGAATAATGAAGCATACATAAAAAATTACATTATACCAGGGTCAAACAAAACATTTCAGTATTTGCTATATATGTATTCTTTCCCCCTTTCAAAATTAGTGAGAAAGAAGATATTTATTATATAGTTTTAAATTGTTTAGAAAATAATACCAAAGCTCTAGAGAATTTTGTTTTCAATCATGACGTTCTATTGAACGCTGAGATTGTATTGCGTATACGAGTAAGCCCGAAACATTCAGGATACGAGCGTTCAATATCGAACGCCCCGTTGTAAACAAAAAAAATCGTCTGGTCAAATTCTCAGAGCTTAGGTAAAGAAAGGATGAGGCATCTAGGTAAGAAGTGTTTTTTTTTCTACATAAAAATGAAATTATTTTTTTTTGATTTAGTATGTACTATACCCACTAAAACTTAAATAAGCAAATCATAACGCTCGGTAGGGTAATCGGAATTGTGTTAAATTTAATACTTACAGGAAAGGACTTTATTTGAAAACCGATATCAAAAAAATCATTAATTTCAGATTTTTAGTTGGAAAGATTATTTTAAATTATGAGGAAATGTACAAGCCATATAATAATATAGAGCAGACCCTGTTACAATTGACCATTTTTGATGATAAATGTAGAAATCATTTACTCAATAATATTTATATATGCTTTAAAATATTAAGTTAAGGACAAGACTGTCATTTACACATATTTTCTGCATGGAGTCATGTATTTCAAACAATGAAAAGGCTGTAACAATATTATATTTTTTTGAAAGGCTCATTTATTTTTCGATTTTAAATATTTTAAACATTTAAATATTCCATCAATCAAACTTGATTTACGCGTACTTTTGCAACTTTTATAAACAACATCTAATAGTTTGGTTTACTTAGAAACTCGTATTTGAGCAACGGGGGGGGGGGGCAGGTGGGGGGGGCTCTTTTTTTACTCTTTACTAAGATATGGAAGATAAAATCAGGAGTACTGTATAACAATATATTCTCTAAGTAGTTTTATTAAAACGCTTGTACCAAAAAACCAAAACAACGTAAAAAAAGTGAAATCGAACTCCAATCGACGGAAGTGAATTGTTTATGAAATTGTACCACTTTTCAACAGTTTGAATATAAGTCATAGCCTATTGATTTCATCGTCAGCTGCTTCCTATGTTTAAATAAATTCTTTATTTGCTATGTTTGCCATTGGTCATTTGTAAAACTACTTTTTATTTATTATAACAATGTTCCGGTTCTGCACTTAACATCGAAGTTTATATTTAAAAGATAATTTAGTTGATTTTTTTTACAATGGTATTTCTCGGAAATCAAATCAACCAGAAATATTTTGGTATTCCCAAGGGTGCTAATTGTATTTAGTGTTTTAGAGGCATTTCTTTATATCCATTGGAAGCAGAGGTCATAAACATTAAAATAACCTCGTTAGCAAATACATATCTATCGTCTAGACAAAATCTATGTTGTTTAAATCGACTAAATTCCTGTTAATCCCTTTTTTATCGTTATTTTCATACATGATAGTAATATTGGCATTATCAAATTATAGCTCCTTCCTTTGTCGGGGCCCATTCTTTTCGGCACATTTACACTTGAATATGCACTTTGTCATTAGCTATCACATATATTTTTAGTTTTCTTAAGGGAAGAAGGCAATTTTAATGAACTTGCCTTACGAAGTAATGCTTTGGATCCTCCTTAAAAAATAGATTTTTTAACACCACTATAATTTTTGCCAGGTTTGGTAAAATTAGATTGTAGTATCGTATACATAATTTACACTACAGTACTACTCATCATACAACTTGGTAAAACGTATATAGAACAATTTGAAAAACTTGCTTCAAAATGCAATAAAGGGACTTTCCTATACAGAGACAGTCACTTAAAATAGAAAATAACAGTATAAACTGAACAATTAAAGAAAGAGCGAAGAAATCGAAAAAATCCCACTTATATATGCGTTTGTCTTGAGAACAAATGAGTTAAATGTCTTATAACACAGTGTAACATGCATTGCAGTTTGAAAAATTAAGCAAGCAAAAACTTACGATTAACTTGTGTCTTTTTAAATACGTTTTTCTTCATAAGTGAAATACGATGTTACACTGTATATCCATTTGTACCAAGCGCCGCTTTTTTGATCACCATCATTAAAAAGGCAAACTAAAAGACTTCCGTTTTCTAAGCATCAAAAAGTTTTAATTGATTGCTTTTTCTGTTAACGGAAAGGAAACATAGTATTAAGATATTTATTTGGTTTATATTGCAGATGGATGTTTGTTGAGTTTGCACTCTTTGATAATTATGTGCTAATGTATGTTACAAAAGTCATACAAAAATATAGGCAATGTTCCTCATCGTAATATTATTATTACGAGATAATAGACACATTTTAGTAAACAATATTTACGAGGGCTGTTCAATAAATAATGTGCTCAGAAAGAAGCAAACGACGCTTTTCAATGATTTAGTCTTCATGATTTTACTTATTTATCTCTTTTAATTCAAACAAATGTCCGTAACATTTTCTGTCCAATTTCTGATTGTTTTTAGAACTCATTTTTGGGTACGACCCTTAGTATACTTGAAAAGGGCAGATCCAATCATTTTCTGGATTTGTTTTTCCTTCTAAAAGGTGTTTTTTTTTCAAGTTAGAATTTAGAAAGAAGTCAAAAGGTCAAAGATCTGGCAAAAATTGTTAAAGTGAAAAAACATTAACTTTCTGTTTATCCCGAAAACCCTTTTACTCTTCAGGGCATGCGGGTTTGAAGCTGTCATGAAGAAATTCAATGTGGTGGATTCCTGATTCTGCGTCCTCCTCATATTAACCTTTCGATTTTTTTGCAAAATATTTGCTTTCTAGACTTCTCCAGATATTAAACTGTCTCCCCGAATACGAATTTGAAAAACTATACCACTAATGTTAAAGAAAATTACATATAAATCTGTCTTTGATCTCTTGCATACCTTTGCTCTTGTCAGACCTTCGCGCCGTTTTTATCAAGTAAATTTTATGGTAAATTTTTTTTGATGGTTTTAAGCAATAGATTC